AACAGATGTATATTTCAGTGCTTGGAACTTTCTTTGCTGACGGTTGAAAACTGCTTCTAAGAGAATCATGTGGAACAAAGCACAAAGGATCGCTTTTTAGGATAATTAAAACTATTTCGGATTTTTTATTTATCAATCTGGTTTCTAATATAATTTCAGTTAAATGAAAGACATTCACAAAGAATATTAGGCATACATAGTTTCCTTCTTTCATTCTATGTTACATGCTGTTGCTTTTAGAGAGTGAACTTTTGGGTCATTTCACAGGGTGGAATCCTAATCGACTTTACAGAAAGAATACTTAGCCCAGCTTTCCATAACCCTGACCTCCGCAGTCACCATGCTCGCTGAAAAAAAAATAAAAACCCAACCGAACTCAGAATCAGTAACATCTGAATGGTTTTTTGGCCCACATGAGGGGATGTCTTCCTAGCCATGACAGAACCCAGCAGTTGCTGTTTCCAATAAACTGAGCCTTGGAAATGTTGCTGGCCCATCTGTGTAGACCTGCTTTTAAAGCACGTTCTCATCTGGAAAGTGAACTTGTAAATGCATGTTGGATATGAATTCCTGTGTGCTCACGTATCTCTACCACCCTTCTGCCGGTCTTTGCTCCACGGGAGACAATCAACTTTTTGATACGGTTTCCCTATTTCATTGACTATGAGTGTGACATACCATTGGTATCCAGAAAATACTGCTGTGAAAGAAATCTATTCTAGAGTCACCAATATTATCATGCAGGGTATGTGTGGTGTAAGCAAGGTGGCACTAGGCTACGCGAAAAAATCCCATTTGTTTCTCATGTTGTCTTATGTGTGAGCCAGCCCGGGGGCACCGGGAGGGGTGTGTGTGTAAGCTGTCAGTCACGTCTGCGTGGGAACTCTGGGTTTTGTGCACATGAAGTTCTGATTTCTCTGTCCTTTGCCCGTCGCATCTCCCAGGGTTGACAAGTTAGCTCTCGGGCAGTCTCCTTGATGAATAATTGGACGGTTGTACAGCAATTGTCTCTTAAATCTGTACACTTCCGGATGTGGCCACATTGTTTCTTTGGCGGGACTAAGAACCACAGGCCAGAAAGTAAATCTTCCAGTAGGCTCCATTGACTTGGGTCTTTATATGTGGATGTCAAAGTATGCTGCCCTCAAGAAGCCATGGCACCTCACAATTGGTCTTTTTAAGTAGGCAGAACTGTATCCCCAATACAGGGCAAAGAGGGACCGAGGTTCAGAGGCTTGACCCAGGTCACATAGCAAGTCGGGGAGAGAGAAAGGGTTAGGACTCTATCCATCCTCACCAAGACATCACATTAAACATGGCGCCCATTGGTTTTAGCCCAAGTCGGCTAGACACGTTGTGTTTCTCCTTTGTTTCAGGATCAGTTGGTTCTACTGCCACTAGTAACCTAGGACCCATTTTGGCTGGCTAACTGGAATTCAATTTAATAACTCCTTCCTCTCTTTTTGAAAACTGCTTGACGGGATGGTGAAAAGGAAATAGTATTAAGAGGTTTAAATTAGGTGCTTATTGTTTGGAGGCACAAACAAATGTTTACACCATACAAGAAAGGAAAGGGAGAAAAAGAGTGAGTGGGAAGATTGAAAAAAACAGATCCTGTTATAGAAGGAAATAGACGTTTCTTCTGGACAAACACTTACATCATGTTTTCATAACTGGTAGCTACTCCTTCCGTAAGTGCTTCCTATGGTTTGTCTTGGTGCCCAGCTTTCTGCTGGCGTCTGGGGGCGACTCCACAGACATTTAGGAATGGCCTAAGATCTCCTCTTTTCTTCATGCCAATTCTTCTTCTGCGCCTCTGAATCCCTGCTCCTGTTAGTAAAGGATGCTTGTGTAGCAAATGGAGGGCAATAGGAAATTGTCCAACAAAAGGCACTCCAAACCCTTGTTTCTAGCTTCTTAATAAAAACTTGCACAGAACAGTCTTCTTCTCTCTCTGTCCTTTTTTCTTTTTTCTTTTTTTGAGCAGTTGGTTGAAAGTCAGAACGGAAAACAGGCTTCTGGATTAAGATTCAGAGAACTTGACAACACAACTTCTCACCTCCTGAGCTAGTCTCCTTGGGGTCTAGGGAATATGTTATTTTGAGAGCTGAGAATGGCACGGATCTTGCTTTCAAAGTCCTGCTCCTCCCTTCTCAACACGCAGATGCTTGCTCTATGCCCAGACGGTGTTCCCTGCACTGATCGCCCTCACTCGACCATCAGCTTTTCCTGAAAGTTTACGGCAGCCTCTTGTCTCTAAACATTTTTCTTTCTGGGGGTTTGTTTAATCTGTTCTTATTATTTAAAGGGGATACCGCCAGCCTCTTTGGACTCGCTTGATCAAGTCCTGGGATAAAAGAGGTCCACACTGTGTGGAATGTGACTGACAAAGCAGGACTAGGCACTGAGCATGGGTCACAATGTCAGGGCTGTCCAGGGGGCACTATGCTGAGCTTTCAAGGGAGGGAGCTGGAAAAAAGAGAGGCTTCCTTATCTTCACATGAATTATTTGCCATTTAGAATGTACTGGATGTGGCCTTCACAAAGACCCTGAGGACTTTTGGTGAGGACCACATTCCAAAGAGAAGACGAAGATTTCCAGTACTCACTTGGCACTTAACTTAGTTACTTAATACCTTATCCACCTTTCAGTGTCTTGTCTGCTAGCCAGACTGTACCCCCCCAAAATGGAAAAACTGTGTCACATGTATGTCTTAATGATGGTGACATGGGAGACCCACTGATCCCTCTAAGTCATTCCAGCGCCCTGGGTTTGCAAACTTGGTGAGAGAAGTGTTCATCTTTCATGGCAGGAAAATGGGAAGAAGAGAGGGAAGAGAGAGGGTGAGAACATTTTAGCATCGGGGGCTGTTTTTGATTGTTTTGACCCCTTAATCACTTTGGGAAGAAAGGAAAAGTGCAGAGACAATGCATAAAGATGAAAGCTATCATGGGAAATGCACAAAGTAATCAATTTCCATCTGGCATTATGGGTTAAGTGTAAAAGTAATACCTATGAAATAGGTTTGAAAAATCAGAAACATTTCTACTAAACATAATGTTTAAAATTTGCTTCTGAAATTTGACAATACATGAAAGAACCCTTCATGGTAGTCATCTTGGTTAAATAAATAGCCTTTGTTTTGAATACATCATTCGTAAAAGCTGTATTCGTAAAAGCTGGTTCAGCTGCTTAGTCATATCACGTACTTTTCATTTGACAATATGTTTATGGAATAATGATCGAGACCTTTTTAAGTTAAGGGTGTTTGTGATTGTGGCTGAGGTCAGCAACTGAAAAGGGGTTCCCTTTGGTTCTGTTACCTTGACTCTAATGGGAATTAACCTATTCGGTGTCTCCTTTGGAATGTGTAATGTGCCAGTACAATATGCCATTGGCAACTCTAGATAATATTTTTCATCACCCAAGAAGCTGAGATCCTCCAATAAGTTAGGCATACCGAGAATTTTGAAAAACATGTATATATAACCTAACAACCAGAATTTCCATTTCACTGAGGCACACTATCAGAAAAATAGCAACAATACCTTTTTAATCTCATCTTACCCCCTTCCAAGAAAAGGAAAAAAGGGATCCTTTTTAATTCCTCAGAATGTTGGAGTCTGAAAAAAATTTTTAAAAGTACTTATTAAGAGCCTGAACTAAAATGATCATAAATGGTAGTCATCCTAGAAATAACTTTTGTGTGGTTTTTACAAATAAATAAATAAAATTATTTTTTTTGGATGTTCCAATAGGAGCTTTGTCCCATTTGTTTACAAAAAAAAGTCAATCATTTTTAAATAAAATCCAGGAGTTATTTGTTGGAAAAAGTTGGTTAGGATTCCTGATTAGACTGACGCGTAGCTATCTACATGTGTCCATTCTCTGAGAGGCAACCATCAGTTACCAGGTTTGTGATGAACCTGGCTCAAATGTATCTGTCAAAGACATCTCCGAACATGGCAGTGTGTCTATTTAGGATGGAACAAGAGTACATGGAGTAGATGGTGTAAAATATGGCAGTGTTTTCCATATGATTCCAGCGATTTCTATATGAGTAAAGCAATAATGATAGCAAGCATAACTTGGCTTTATTGTGGTATGTCCATTCAGAGGACCTGGTCTGCTAGGATTTTGTCACAGGGGCTTCAAAACTAGAGATTTAAAGCAAATTAAGAAGAGCAAGCTAATTTATGCATTCGCTAGAAAGTGTCCATACTCTTGCTACAACTAAAAAAGAAACAGAGTGAGCAAATCATTAACATCTGGCTCTAATTCCCCATTGAGGTGCCCCCCCCCAAACATACAACATAACCTAACATGTTGCAGGTAAAGCAGAGGAGAAATCTTTTGTAACAGCTGATCACCACTGGATTATAGCTGACAGTCACAGACAGTGAATAGGTCTAGGACTACACACAAGAACAGTACTGGCTTGTAGAATTTGATGAAAGATACACCAACAATCCCAACAGAAGACTACTTCCCCGGTTCTTAATGCTTCTCTCTGTTGTGTTGGTTCTGGTGTTACACAGCAGGGACCATGCTCTCTTCCTTCTTTCCTTCCTGTTTCAGGCGGGAGCTCTCAGAGAATTGGCATAGATTGAGGACTCTTTGAAACCTGGCAGATAATATGTTCTCTTTGCCCCTTTCTTTCCTTTTCCAATTTACAGGACACGAAAAGAAATACTGTATGAACACGAACTAGTTACTACGATAGCCCATTAAAAATCGACTATATGCAAAAGGAAGAGAATGCTGGAGGCCATGAGCATCAGCTTTTCTCAAGAAAAAATATCCACATTCTAAGGGCTCTTAAAAATGTAGAAAACTTGCCCTGTTACCATGGGTTTTTTAGAACACCTCTAAACACACACAAAATAAGACGGTATTACCTACAAATTTCAACCATTTCTTAAACTCTAAAAGCATTTTTTGTATTATTTTGAGTTGATACAGAAGGGGAATCTCAGCTATAAAGAAATATTAAAAAGTATTTTTTTTTTGTGGCAATCCGTCTCCAGAATTTTCTGTTGCTTGCCTCCCCCAACTTGTGCTGATATTTTAAGGATGTGCTCAAGAGTATGAAGTAGGGTGCTTTTGTCCCTTTCCCTCCTCCCTAATAACTCGCCCTTCCCTCTCCCATAGCCAAAGAGCCACCCCTCAGATGAGCCATTCCTTTTTGCTCTCATCAATGGTCTCTGTGAAATTGGGGTCGTTGTTCATGATGGCGGCGTCGGCGCTCTCTGCGGACTCTGCTCCCTTTGCTTCATTGGTGTGGTAGGTGCCCTTGTGGCGGAACATGTAGCGAATGAGGAAGACCAAGGTGCAGAGAATGGTGAAAATCACCACAGCGATGACCCCTGGTGGAGACAGGAGAAGCACTGGTCATTAAACAGACCTCAGATTCATCTCTCCAACACCACCTCCCCCAGGCACCTGGGTTCCCTCAGACACCACCCTCCCCCATACAGAACACAAAACTCCAAAAAGGAACAGCAACAGAAATGGACAGGACTGAAGGAAACAGAAAAGGAAACAGGATCAATACACAGCTGTGTTAACTGATAGACAATTAAGCAGACAGGAGGAACCACTGTTCAACCCGTTTTAAAAGCCCAGCATTAGGGGCGCCTGGGTGGCTCAGTGGGTTAAGCCTCTGCTTTCGGCTCGGGTCGTGATCTCGGGGTCCTGGGATCGAGCTCCGCATCGGGCTCTCCGCTCAGCGGGGAGCCTGCTTCCACCTCTCTCTGCCTGCCTCTCTGCCTACTTGTGATCTCTGCCTGTCAAATAAATAAATAAAAACCTTAAAAAAAAAAGAAAAAAAAAAGCCCAGCATTATCCTGATACCAAGACCAAACACATCACAAAAAACCAAACCAAAACAAAAAAACAAAAACCAAAACTACAGAGCAAGAGTTCCCTTTGGTAAAATTTTAGCCAATCAAATCCAGCAATGTGTGGAAAAGAATATATTATGTTTAAGTGGTGTTAATTCTAGGAATGCAAGGTTGGTATAACGTGAAAGAAATAAAGTGATGTAATTGACCACATTGAAGAAAAATACAGGAGAAAAAGCACCAGACAAGCTTCAACCTCCATTCATTATAAAGCATCTCAGAAACTATCAGTAGAAAGGACCTTTCTCAACCTGATAAAAGGCATCTGTGAGAAACCTACAGCTAATATCTTAATACCAAAAGAATAAACAGATTTTCTCTAAAATATGGAACAATGGAAGAATGTAGTTCCCTCAATGTACTGGGAGCCCGAGCCAATGCAAGAAAATGAATAAAAAAGAAAGAAAAAGGTGCAGATTGAGAAGAAATAAACATTTTCTTTATTCTCAGGTGATACGATGATCTATGTAGAAAATCCTAAGGGATATGTTAAAAAAAAGTTTCTAGAACTAAGAATAAATTTAGCTAGGTCATAGGAGAGATATAAAGTCAATATACAAAAATCAATTGTGTTTTTATATACTAGCCAAAAGTAGTTGGGAAAATATTGTGAGTAATAAAGTAATAAACATTTTAAAAAGTAATAAAATAATACCGTTTGTAATAAAACAACCCGAACACAGTTGTTCAAAGCTATGTACTCAAGACCATAAAACCTTACTGGGAGAAATTAAAGATGTCAGTAAATGGATAGATAGACCATGTTTAAGAACTTAAGTACCCAATATTGTTTAGATGTCCATTTATAGATCTAATGCAATCTCAATGAAAATGACAGCAAACTTTTTTTTGGTAGAAATTTATAAGTTGATTCTAAATTTTATAGGGCAATGCAAAGCATCCAGAATAGCCAACATGATTTTGAAAAACAAAAAAGATATAACTGGAGATTAAAGAATTATGCAATAAAGCAAGCATGGTCTTGGGTAAAGATTATATATATATATATATATATATTTATTTATAGATAACACCCAGAAAAAAGACATATACATATATGGCCTATTGATTTTTGGCAAAATCTCCAAGGAAATTAAATTTGGAAAATATGGTCTTTTCAACAAATGGTCTTGGAATAACTAGTATTAATTTGGAAAATAATGGCTTTGACCTTTATACCACACTATGTAACAACTCAAAGTGATGACAGACTTAGTAACAGAAGCCACAGCTATAAAAGTTCTAGAAAAAAACACAGGAGAAAAAATCTTCACAACCTTGAACAGGTATATTTAAAAGATAGAATTTTAAAAAATCACAAAGTATAAAAAGATTTGAAAAACTGGACTTTATCAAAATTTAAACCTCTTGCTTTTCAAAAAATATCACTAAGAAAATGAAAAGGCATGTCACAGACTGGGAGAAAATATTCACAATACAGGTGTCTGACAAAGGACTTAAACTATCTAGAATATAAAAAACTGTTATAACTCAAAAGAAGAGGTAAAACAATCCAGTTAAAAGATGACGAACACCCTGCTTGTGTTCCCTCTCCAGCTATGTTTCTTTCTGTCAAGTAAATAAATAAAATCTTAAAATCTTTAAAAAAATTAAAAAAAAAAAGATGACCAAATAGTTTTAAACAGACACTTCACAAAGGATTTACAAATGGCAATAAGCATGTGAAAAGATGCCCAAAACGATTAGTCACCAGAAATCGCCACTAAAACCTCAATGAGTTACCACTACTCATCCACTAGAGTGGCTAAGATTAGGAAGACTGAAAATACCAAGGATTGATAAGATTGTGGAGCCAACCTGACCTCCCAGATAGTAATTATGGGAATGTAAAGTGGTTCAACCATTTTTGGAAAACTGGATAGCAATTTCTTACAAAGTTTAATATCCACTTTCTAGAACACACAGCAGCTGCACTGCTAGAATTACCAAAGAGAAATGAAAACTTATGTTCATAGAAGGCTTCAACAAGCATATTCATAGCAGCTTTATTCAAAATAGCTGCAATCTGGAGACAAACCAAACAGCAACAGGAAAGCAGATTAAACAAATGATAGTACGCTCATACAATAGAATACAACTTGACAATTAAAACAGACTATCGATCCATGCAACAGCAGGTAGTTCTCAGAAACACTGTGTTGAGCAGAAGTAAGGCACCACAGATGGCATACTCTAGGATTCCATTTATGTGAAGTTCTAAAGGAGGTAGAAGTAATTTACGTGACAAAAAGCAAATCAGAGCTTGCCTTGGTTGGGACTGGGATGGGGGAAAGGATGGGCACAAAGCGCTTTCCGTGGATGGCAATGTTCCGTCGCCTGGTTGTGGTGGTGGTTATGGGTGTGCCTATTTGTCTCGTCACTGACCTGCTCCATGTGAGTAAGTCTGTTTTATACTTCAACACAGTTGATCTTAAAAAAGCAAAAATCAGTGAGGATAGGGACCTTGATAAGATTACACCAGAACTTTGGACAATGTGATTTAAGCAGCGTTCTGAATGTATTCTAGTTCTAGAGGCATCTACTGTCTCCATGTGGAAAAGAAACCTACTGGCTAAGCCAAGGTGACTGGCTGGGTTCAAAATTGCTGACATGTTTACAACAGTAGCAATACTCAGACAAGCAGGAAACATCCTCATGAACAAAGACAGAAGGTGCAGGCAGAGAAGAAGGCTTTGCGCAACAGGGATGTCCGTACTGACCCAGATAGGAGGGACTGTGTTTGGAGAGTTCCATCATTCTGCTGTTGTCCATGGTGAGAAAGAAGGCTAGAATATTTTAGATACCCTAGCTTATTCAATTCTGAGGAGTTTTATTAAGACAACTCAAAGCAGACCGGCTTAGTCCTTCCTACTTTTGTAGTAAGCTATCCTGGGCCATCTGGGAGGGGAGGGAATCAGAATGGAAATGAAGTGGGATAAGGATGTCCAGGCTACTGCACGCTGTCCTCCCTGCCTGGTCAGGTGTTGGCTAGCTCCGCACCCCCTCCTTTATTTATGGATCAGCAGTGAAAGGTAGCTAGGTGTCCGCACATCCATCCATATTCTACAATCTTAAGTCATATTTAATTAGCAAAATGAATCAAGTAAAAATCTACATGACTGTTTTCTTTACAACTATGATTTTATTGAAATTTTTACTTTCCACAGGGGAGTAGTGCACATGAAAGCCTGTTCTGTATATCACTCACCTCCAATGATAGCCGAGTTTCTGTTGACTCCATTTCTTATAGCTTGACCTTGGCCTGGATTATATGGAAAATCAGCACTAGCTGCAGAGGAATACACGAAACAGTCAAATGTAAGAGTCAAGGATACCAACAATCCTCCCAAATTTGATGGGTATTTCTGCTTTATTTTTTTTATTTTTTTATTTTTATTTTTTTAAAAGTAGACTCCATGCACAACTTGGGGCTTGAACTCACAACCCTTGGACCAGGAGTCGGATGCTCTACCGACTGAGCCAGTTGGGTGCCCTGATGCACATTTCTTCATACAACTCTTCAATGCATCCTGTTTTTCCAGACGAGATGTCAGTTTTAGACGGACCCATCTTGTTATCATTTCCACAAGGTCACAGCTCCTCTGCCCCCGGGTTTGCCTGGTTCTCCCAGACACGAGGCCCAGAGAAGTGCTGTAAAGCCTTTGGAGGAATGTTAGAGAATCAGAACTCTCTCTCAGCCTGTTCCCACTCCAGGATAGGCAGACTTAGGTACTAGAATACTTTTTCTTATGTTTGGCTGAAATCTGCCTCCTATCCACTTCCATCCCATTGATAACTGGTGACCTTGGCTATTTATGTAGAGCTTTTTACAGCCTATAGTATTAGCTTAAAAAGGAATCATTTCTTTAAATTAATATTTTACATGTTCCTAACAAAACATAGTACGTGTCAGGAATTTGTACGGGGGTAAAATTTCCCAAGAGTTGAGAATAACATAAACCACCTAATGAAATTTCTGTTTCTTTCCCTATTATTTAAAAAAAAAAAAAGAAAAAAAAAACCAGTGGTATTAAATCCCAATCTTCTCTAAGATATATTTCAAGGCAAACAGATCCTGAAGTCTTTCGATGGGTCATCATTATCCAAACAAACCAATTTAGCTTCAAAGATGGTTCTACATTCACTGGGCTTCTGTTTGAGAAGTTATGGTTTCAGGCAAACACTCCTACAGAAGCAGCTTCTCCTCCAGCACATTACCTTTGTCTAGTCAGAGCCATGGCTACTGGACGGCATCAATTAGAGATTAAAAAAAAAATTAAACTAGTTGTTTGGGATAACTCAATGTGCACACACCGAGGAAACAGGCTTATGTTATGATTTAAGGAGAATCTCACTGGGGACTCAGGTTTTCCAAGGCTCATCCTCGAGCTCTACTTCTAAAGGTTCCCAGGATAATGATGAAAGGATGTAGAGGGGCGCCTGGGTGGTTCAGGCAGTTAAGTCTCTGGTTTCGGCTCTGGTCACGATCCCAGGGACGGAGTCCTGCATTGGGCTCCCTGCTCAGTGCGGAGGCTGCTTTTCCCTCTGCCTCTCCCCGCTGTTCATGCTCTCTCTGTCTGTTAAATAAATAAATAAAATCTTAAAAAGAAAAGTGGGTGAGCCTTTCTTCTCCTTTTCCCTAGCAAATAGGGCAATCAAGAGAGAGATTTCAGATTCCACCAGCAGAGACTATTTAACCCTTTCTCTCTTCAACTCGATATTCTTCTTTAAGACCAGGAAAATTATCCTTTCCTGGATGCCTCATATTCCAGATCAGCTGGACCATCAGTGCCACTCACACCTGTCGATTTGATTAAAACACAGACACTAAGAAAGATACAAATGAAAGAGAACTTATCTCTGAGTCCTCGGGACTTTTCCTATCCCCTTCCCTCCTTAGCTGGAGGATGTGGGAGAGAACTTTTGGTATTATGTGCTTATTTTAACTGGTCCAACCCTAAATCTAGGGAGAAGGGAAAGGGGCAGAGCCAACGTGGACCGCAGTGGGGTCCAGCAACTCTCCCTGCCCTTCAGGAGTTTCTGGGGTAGACGGCATGGACTGATATTCAAAATCCCAAGTGTCAGCCCAACGATGCAATGATCTTACATTTATAGGCTCATCGCCTGATGTCATAAACTTATCCTGTATGAGTAAAAATGGCTTACATAACACAAATAATGTTTTTAAAGATTTTATTTATTTATTTGACAGAGAGATCACAAGCAGGCAGAGAGGCAGGCAGAGAGAGAAAGGAGGAAGCAGGCTCCCCTAGAGAGCAGAGAGCCCGATGCGGGGCTCGATCCCAGGACTCTGAGATCATGACCTGAGCCGAAGGCAGCGGCCCAACCCACTGAGCCACCCAGGCGCCCCACAAATAATGTTTTTAGAAACCTCGGTTTCTTCTATAAACCTGAGCTTTCTCTTGAGAGAAGTATTATTACTAGATGTGACAAATGAATGTACTCAATCATTCAACACATCTTTCCAGAACGCCTCCCGTATGTCAGGCACCATTCTAAGTGCTGGGGATACACAGTGAACAATAAAAAAGATGAAAACTGTTATTAATGAGAACTTTCCGTGCCCCGTTGAAGGGTTTGGCTTATGTAGTCAAAACACCCATCTGAAGCATGGATGTGGTTATAGTTATGACCCTATATATTTTCAGTAAATTGCCTGAAATTGCTTTGTAGTTGCTGTGTTGTAACTCATATACACACAGGGCCACAGTAAGATCTGGTTATGAATGCACGTAATTCCCTGGCATACTCCATCCTTCCAAGATGGAGAGACTGAGAGTTTCTTTCCAAGGATGAAAGTTTACACTTTCAGTGCCCATCCCTGATGTAGTTTCCAGGCCTTCTGACAATGTAATCACTCTTCTCTGGACACAATTTAGTCCATGTCCTTCTAGAAAGTCATCAAGCTTGTAAGTGGCCCCGCTGGGATTTAAAATCAGGCAGGATTAATTCCCAAGACAACCTTCTTCCCCATCCTGCCTTTGGAGGGCTGGGAAGAGACAGCCAGGCGAGGAAGTCCCAGGGTTCAGCTAGATTAGCTGGGGCAGGACCCATGGGAGGAGGAGCCTTTTTAGGGGACGAGGGAGAGAAATCTGGTTTGTCTTGGACATACTGAGTTTGAGAGGCCTGTGGGATACCCAGATGGAGAGATCTACTGGACATTTGGTATTTGGTGAGTGACTCCTATTTCCCATCTCCTTTTGATGAACACAGAAATCTCCTCACCACTTTGAAATAATATGAACCTTCAAAATACATTAAGCATGGAGACAAAAAATTACAGTGGCAATTTTGTTATTATTCTCTTGTGTGATATTCATGATATGAAACTGTTTGCTTTTCTGCTTCGGGTAATGTGGATGGTGGAAGACAGCATGCTTTCTCTCTGCTTCCAAACCTACTTTATGGCTTTGCATCCTTGGCTACAAAGCCGCCGAAAAACACAGATGTCTAGCGATACGGACATGCCTCTCCCTGGGTCCCTTGAAGTTACGGACACAAACAGTAGTGGAAGGTGGGGGTATGACCTCAGATGACCCACAAAGAACAACAAGAGTTAGAAGAGACCATTTAAAAATATGCCAGGATTGCCTTTGGTTTTAAATCCGAATGCCTTGGCAGGGGGAGGGAGGCCTCCTGTGAGCTGAATTTCCCTCCTGCTTCCTCCCTGCCAGGACCACTGCTCCACCAGACACTGCCGATGCTCCGGTGGACACGTCCTTGCTCATTCTTGCTCGTCCATCCATCCACGCTCAGCTGTTTCACATCCACCTGCCCTTCCTCTCTGTGTCCACCAAATCCTACCTCTCTCCTAAAACCATCCTCAGCCATGTGTCTGGCACTCTTGTCAAGGGCAATCAGTCTTAATTCTCATCCCTCCTTACATGGTAGCCACCCTCTTAAAGGCAGGGGCCGATCTTAATTATGTTTGCAGACCCGATGACATAGTGCTGAAAAGTAGCAAAAGCTAATGAGGTGTTTGTTAAAATCAGTCCACTAAGAGGTACGTGTGCAAATGTTTCTGTAGCCTCTTCTAATACTTAAGTCTCTGGTGCAGGTCTAATTTTAACCCACTGAGCCACCCAGGTGCCCCGGTGCAGGTCTAATTTTAAAAGTCAGTTACCTAAACCTGACTCAACCCTTAAAGCGAGGCAGCGTGCTTATCCTTCCCAATAAAGAAAATGAGCACACAGAGTATGGAAAGGCGCTAGTGGTTCCTGTGTCCACTAGTCTTTGGTGATTATCAGAAAACGACCTGTGGGAAACCCTCAGGTACAACGGGAGTCCTTATGAAATTCAAGGGCAGGGTTCTGATTCTCGTGTGAGGATCCCTATTTTCATGGCCTTATTTATTACTTAAACCTGGTTGTCCTAGTGCGTGTGAGCCCTTACTCCCTGAGGCAAATCTGTTTCACTCTGGTGAGCCCAGCAATTGCGATTCTGATAGATATATTTGAAATGACTTCATTGTAACTATCCTTTCCCCCAGGGTCCCGACATCCTCTGGGAAATGCACATCGGGAAACACGGAAACCAAGAGACACGAGTGAGAACAGAGCACAGAGAACAGAGCTCACCCATGACACAGGCTTCATTCTGCTCCATCCCACCCCAGTTTGCTGGGCAAGCTGAGCAATTTTAGGGGTGCAGCAGTATCAAGGAACGTATATTTCGGGAAAAGTCATGGGTAGGTCAATATAGACTGGCTGGTTCTGTTGGTAGAGCATGGGGCTCTTGATCTCAGGGTCGTGCATGAATTTGAGTCCCATGCTGGGCATGGAGTCTACTTCAAACAAACAAACAAACAAACAAACAAACAAATCAGACTCTAGGTATTAATAGTCTCAAGACCAGACTTGCATCAAATAGGCAAAGACCAGATTCAGTACACTTCCCCCTGGATCTCCACGTAGCAGAGCGTGATGCTAACCTCCAAAGCATGGGGCTACACCAGCTCTGACTTAGCATCTCACAGAAGTGTGTGCGTTTCTGCTTACTTCCCTTGCTCATGTCCTCTTGTCCATCTGGCCTCCCCCATTACACCGACCATGCACAGACCATATTCCCTTCGCACACCCAGAGATTAGCTCCCGTCCCCTTCCCTGCCCAGCGGAGGACTGGCAGAGCGCGTTGCTGGAGGAACCCACGTGGAGGGGTTCTTGACCCGCACACGCGCTTGTTAAACAGCCCGGCTGAGGCTTCAGAGCCCTACATGCACTCCTACTGCCCTTCTTGCCCAGAGAAAGAAGACAGGCCATAGGCCCCAAA